AAAAAACTCTAGATGAAAATGCAGTCGTAAAATTTTTTAAAAAGCATAACGAGAGCCTACAAAGTAGGCCGAAATCCAATGCTCCGGATTACCAAACTTTCAGGCAAATTAGAATCATTTTGATATTCTTGCTAAAAATACAGGTTCCTGGGCTCCACTGCCAGAGATTTTTATTCATATTGGAGGTAGAGACCCAGAATCTAATTCATGATTCTTTGATATTCATACATTTTCATTGGCTTATTACTTTTTCTGGTTTACAATATGGTCAGAACCTCATAGAAACTAGAAAGAAAATATTCTGGATGAACCAAAGGCAGGTGTTCATGTAGTAAAAACTGAAGTGGCAATCAAAGCAAATATTAGCATCATTTGGTATAAATCGTTTTTATATTTTATATACAGGTATGCAATGGAAAAACTCTTTTTAACTTGAATTATTGAGGCCAGTCCTTCAATATCAATCCTTTTATAAGCATAGCATTTCTATTAATAAGAACATAAGGCCGGGCGAGGTGGCTCACGCCTGTCATCCTAGCACTCTGGGAGGCCGAGGCGGGAGGATCACTCAAGGTCAGGAGTTCGAAACCAGCCTGAGCAAGAGCGAGACCCCCGTCTCTACTAAAAATAGAAAGAAATTAATTGGCCAACTAAAAATATATAGAAAAAAAATCAGCCGGGCGTGGTGGTGCATGCCTGTAGTCCCAGCTACTTGGGAGGCTGAAATAGGAGGATTGCTTGAGCCCAGGAGTTGGAGGTTGCTGTGAGTGAGGCTGACGCCACGGCACTCACTCTAGCCTGGGCAACAGAGTGAGACTCTGTCTCAAAAAAAAAAAAAAAAAAAAGATGGAGGAAACCATTTAAATGATTCTAAGAGTAACTGTTTTAATTGTAAGCTAGTTTATTTCATTTGTCAGTTAGTGAACTAGACCTAAATTAACTCTTGAAATCCTTGGCACATAATCAAAAGATTTTCCAGAACTGCACAGATAATTGTTTTCTCTCCTGGTACGTTATTTAAAAATGCCATGACAAGCAGAAGTGTTTTGAATGGAAACACTTTGTTTAGTGTGTGGTATTGTAATTAAAACTATGGATTCTTAAGTCAGAATGCCTAAGTTTGCATTTGACCTCCACTTAGGAGCTGTGTGACTTTAGACAAGTTACTTAACCACTCTGGGGTACAGTCCACATTATGGAGATAATAGAACGTGCCTACTGTGTTTCCCCAAAAATAAGACTGGGTCTTCTCTTTATTTTTCCTCAAGAAGACGCCCTAGGGCTGATTTCCAGGAGATGTGTTATTTGTTGTAAGTGCAGTACAACCATCTACATTGATTCAAATAGAGTGAGGTTGTCTTCTTCTGGAACATTATCCTCACTCTCCAGACCCCGAATCCCATCCTGAATGTCTTGTGACTCTGTTTCCCTTAGAGCCACCGGCCCCGATCTCTCCTGTCGAGCACTAGAGCTCTCACGGGGCGGATGAGAAGGGCTGCTCGTGTCC